CTACTTAATTTTTTTCTTCGACATGTTGCAGCTTCGATAGGTTTTGGTTTAATATAATTCACATAATTGAATTACGCGTATTTTCCAGAAAAAATTTCAGTCGAAAAAGACCCTGCCTTATTTCCAGATAATTAATGGCACAACACTTATTCGAATATTCGAATGGTTATCATAACAATATATACTGTATTTGGCGCTCAAAGAGTTGGAAAAGGTTATGAAAAAAGAAACGAACAAGATAAGGCACAATTGTGATTCATAGCTTGAAGTTCAGGATCAAGAATTCATGCGCATTATTATTGTATACGAATATTGAGGTGGGTCACGCAAATAGTTTCGTATCGATTTTTCGTATGTGAAAATGTTGCGTTGGAATTCATATAATTTGCGGTTGTTCAAAGAATTAGTATAAATTATCACTTTTCCGACTTTGATAATTTCACTTTCATTATAATATTTAATTATTTTTCTTTGTACTCTATTTTTTTACAATTAAAAACCACCTCATAGATGATCAAACATATATGTAAATGGAAATTTATGAAAAACACAAAATGGTACGCGTACCTTAAAAAGTCCAGCTAAAGAATTCAATTTTATTTATCGAAGAGCACTTTGGTTTTATCACGAAACATAAGCGATGGTGTAAGGCACTTTTTGTTGAGTCAATAATTTCATTACATTTGGTGAAATTATTCTTTGATATTTATTCGATTGAATCATCAATCGAAGGAAATAAAAAAATGTCCATGTAAAACACTTTTTACCGAGAGTCGGAATACTGATGGAATGCGGTCTATACCGGTAAACTAATAAAATGCAAAGTTTGGAAATTTTGAAAAAATGCGTGCGCAATAATTGACGACCATTTTCGTATTATTTGGCGCAGTGGTGGGGCGTCGCTTGGAGAACTCACGAAAAATAAACAAATAATGCTTGTTGATTTCCTACGTCACTCACTCCAAGTCTACCGTCTGACATACATAAGAATGGCAAGAACGTAATATCGATTCTATTGTTCTAAAGTTACATTTTCATATGCTTTCCAAAGAAATGTATAACAGAGCGAATTGTTTCATGCCTCGTAGCAATAACGCTTAAATCTCAATGTGTTTTGCATTGAGGTTTCAAGTTTCATGCCAGATATATATATGATATAGATGTAGTATGCACTGTAATAAAGCGAAATTCCACTGAACTATTTTTTCTCTCTTTTACTTCATATTTATATTCGCATTAGCATAGAAACCAGAGCAATCGTTGTAGAGCAGTTGTTATGAAAAAAAAAAAACATTTATATAAAAAAAACACAAAAATAAATGGATTTGGAAAGTCAAAACACATTCTTATATTTTTGTTATTATTTTTGTATTATATAATTGGTTGGCACTTATATGAGTGAAAAAAATTCATTCCAATTGTAATTTAGACTAGAATATAAAGTAAATGATTGGATGGATTAATTTTAATTTAAGATTCAGAATTAATCGATCTCGCCCAAACAAAAGTCAGCCTAAATTGTTATGATTAAAAAAGTACCGCTTCGTTCAAATGCCCCATCGATTATCGGTGTTGTGAGTGTGATATTTTTTATCGTATACATTAACTCACATCGTCGACTGTAACTTGATACTTCATTCCACTAATCATAACAGTTCTGAAATCGCTGATATGTTTACACGTTGCTTACATTTAGTCTTAATGCATTCGTCTTGTAATCGTATCGACATTGTTCGTCACAATACGGTTTCGTAAACGATAAGAATACTTGTTCGAGTGTGGTTTGACATATGGAGTAATCCTCGATTCCCAGTATTTCTTTGATTGTTTCCATGTGATCAAACATTAACGACCATTTCAATTCGCTGGTTTGTGGTAAATAATATGTTAAAATTCCTTGATACTTTTCCCTGTAAATGAAATCAACATTAAAATTTACCGTAAATGGAACAATTAATTCGATGTCACTTACTTTAAATATGCACCCGGAAAATGTTTCAAAATAAAGGTGTTTATTTGAATTTGAGGAATTTCTGTAGATTTTTCACCCATTTGGATTTTTTCTTTTTCGGATCGTATTTTAATTGTGAGTATGAATCCTTTTGAAAATTGACTCTTCAA